TGGGAGGGTGGAGGGACAGCGCAGGAGGGGAAGACCCTCTATGAGATGGATTGATTCGGTGACTGGGGTAATCGGGATGGGTGTGTCAGAGGTGGTGCGTTTGGCGCAGGATAGAGCAGGGTTTAGAGCTGTTGTGCATAGGGTCGCTATGAGTCGGAAACGACTCGATGGCACATAACAACAACAACAACAGTACAGGAGGAGATTGCCCTTCCTTCTCCAGCAGAGCTTATGGTGGATTTGAACCACATGCCCTTGGGATTGCTGTGCAGCTTCTTGCCACTTGGCAGAGCTCCCCAAACATAACAAATTGTCATTTTAGGGGCTGTTGGTGGCTTAGCGGATTGAATTGCCAACCCAAGGACTGTGTCTTTGGTGGTTTGAAACTACAAGTTACTGTCTGGGAGAAAGATAGGCAGTTTTTTCTGTGATTTACAGCCTCAGAAACTCAGTGGAGGCTCAACTAAAAGTTAGAACCAACTTAATGGCAATAAGTGGATGAACTTCTTATTTTGATTGGAGCTAAAGTTTACAGAGCAGATTGACTAGGTACGGCAAGAATTAAATAATGCAAAACACCTGCTGGAGTTCATCAAAAGACATTATGCCTTGGTATATGATTGATAAGGCTTATTCAGCTAATGTTAGCATTCATTCTACAAAAGAGCATAAAGTATTGAAGCAGAAGAGAGTTCTGAACTTGACTGTAGAGGTGACGCTGTAAATGAGATGAATGATGTTCAAGGAGCAAGATTCACAAGTTTTGTGTGATGTTTCCTTCTTGGACATATGAGTTTCCAGTAATATTTTGGCTGAAATCATCAAAAGAGGAAATACGTCTTTCCAGAACAAAGATAAGCTGGCCTCTCAGTGTAAAAGAAAGGTAAGAAGTAAAAGCAAAAAAAGAGATGTGTAACTGGCTTTAAAAAGATTCGTTTTACAAGCTAATGCCAAATAGAAAATTCTATAGTTGTTCATGTAACACTCACTTGTCAGCAAGAATTGATACTGTTTTTACTGTCAGTTGGTTACTGTTGGGTAAACGAAATAGTACATCCAGAATTGGGATTGGGTTTCAGAAATGGTGGAAATCGAGCCAGAAAGCACATCACTATGAGACATCTGAAGAGACGTATGTTGCCTTGAAAAGCAGAGAACACTAGCAACAGGGCTGAGCGGACACAAACCCGCTGATGCTTAAACTGTTGCTTTGGTGGGCATGGAGGAAAAAAAGTTAAGGTACTTTTTACACAGATTGCTTGATATCACATAATTGTTGTGGGATCTCCCAATGTAGAATCTAGCATTAGATGAATCTTCACTGAATGAAGGGAAAGTTGAGACGGCTGAGATGCTTTCAGACCAGTGCTAAAGGAATATCTAATGAGATGAAGACAGAGCATGTCAATCGATCAGACTCTTGTGTCCCACCAAAACCCCAGAATGAGTTTATGAGTACCATTACAAGTCATATGAAGGAGGAGCTTATCACAGACACAAAGCCTGTGAAGTCCCTTGGGATGATGTTGACAGAGCAGTTGACGTGTCACATCCTGACCAGATGTGCAGTGATCAGATGTATAAAAAGAAAGAGGAAAGTTGAACTGAAAGACATCTTTCTAAGATTTTTCTCTTTTAAGGGGCAAATAAAGCAGCTCATCTCAGTTCTGACAT